GAAAGATGAAAACAAATAATGGCCTTCCCGTCTTTAAGGCAGGTCGCGGTGTACTTAGAATGTACGTGTAGAAAAAACTATTGAGTTTCAAGCTTTGTGACCATGGAGACTTTTCATCAGAACATTAAGGACTACGACATACATCAATTTGAGCGAATTTAACCGAGGGCCACTTCCCATAGGTTTGTGCGGGGTCCTTTGAAGGAATCGATAAATCGTAATTTTACGCAATTTTTCTGATAATTATTTGTATTTTGACCTTTTGTGCTATCTACATGTTTAGTGAATAAAATATATTTTTCTTTCGTTATCGGAAGGAGATCTACATTTCCATCGTACGCTGTCGCTATTTCTTTGATTATGAAATGAGCGTCGTAGCCCGATAAATTGTGAAATACAACCGGAATGGTATATGAATTTTTGTAATTCAGATTACAATTCGTATGTGCCGGACAGCGGTATCTACCGGTTAGGCGGCAATGATCGCGGACCCGCATATCGTTCGACGCGAACGGCTTCTCGCAAATATGACAACGCGTCGCGGTGCGGTACGCCTTCCATTGCTACTTGGATAACGCTTCCATGGGCACGTTAGCGGATATAATATCTTTGACGCGATGTGCTAAATTTTTTAATTCTTCCGCGAACCATGATATACAATTTTCATCGCGTTGGAAGTGATATGATGATAACGAATTGTCGTACGAGCATCGCACGTAGTATCCAATGCTGAATACTTCATGCCGCTGATACTCGTACGACGACGCATCTTCTTTGTTGGGCTCCGTCTTCCGCAGGACGCACTCCAGATCGGCGTACACGATGAATGGTACACGCTCTATGTTGTTGTGGTTGTCGAATTCGAGCCATCTGTCGTCCCCGTTCGGCAGGCGAATGGCGCAGTCGTTCAAATTTTGACAGTCCTCGCTGTGGATCTCCAACTGTACACTCGAGCCAAAATAGTGCAGGCATCTGTAAATATACAAATAATTTTATTTTTTATTTTCACATAGTGTTTATATATATATATATTTTTTTTTTCCTTATTATATATTTACTTTTCTTATTATACTTACCGATCACAGAAGAATATCTTGTTCTTATTTCCAGTTAGTTGCGATCTCACGAGGCGAGATAGATCCTTTATCCATGCAAAGTAGCCTACACCATCGTTGTGTGGATCTTGTAGATATAGCACGTTCACGTGCTTCTCCTTCTTGTCGCCTGTGAGTCGTAGAGGAAGGATCTGCTTATTCTCGATGTCGTACACGTTGATCGACACCGCGTTTAAGCGTTCGAATTTCAGAACGTCTTTCAAAGTCACTGGAAACTCGATACCCGCGAGATTTAAAACAGTAGTGTAATGCGGTTACGACGATTTTCTATCTGCATGTCTTTCTGCGGGGTACAGACCGGCGACCACTGATCACGCGAAGCACGCATTGTCCATGGATTTCACACTGACCACCGCTCGTTTCATCGCTGTCTCGCGGCACCTCGAAGTGACATCCCGCGTGCATGGGATCCAATTTGTTTACATTAACAGTTAGGTTGAGAATTCGAGACAATGCCCACCCGCTGTCGCGTTCTTGAAACTCTTCCAGCGACGCTAATGTGGGCTCGATGACGTACCGTTCGTACCACTCACGCATATCGGTGCATCTATATATCTCGCTGTTCTTTGTGTTTATACTTTTATTGGCACGTTTGTCTTTTGTGACGAAGTCGCCGTGGAACGCTGTGTTCACTTTCACACTACCGTGTCTTTCGACAGCGTCTCGCACTCGCTCTAGCACTACATCGCCAGCGTCTTCCAAAAACCGCCGCGGCTCGATGTGATTAGAGTTTATCACCGCGCCTGTCACTATACGACTCTGTTGTTTCGATCTCGCGCCATCGAAGTCCGTAACCGGCGTGCACGAATCTTCCACGCACCGAATCCTTCAAAATTTCGAGCCTCGCGATCCTCGCCACCACGGATTGTCTGTGTCCAACGGCGAGGCGCGGACGCTTGGTACGACTCTGCTCTTCTATAAATTCTATTAGTTCGTCGCATTGTTGTTCCCATGCGACGTACTCTTTTCTAGTATTCAGCTGGACCGCTTCCTCTATCAAATGCTCTCCATGTTATCGGTTGCGTTGACTAATGACGCGGTGTGTCTAAATCTTCTCATTTTATACCATTTACTTGGTCACGTGATATTTGTATCATATTACATTGATGATGATGTCACCATTCGAACATGTTGTGATATGTCGAATGTTCGTGAAAAATCTAGTCAC